TCTTGTAAATGAGTCCTCAAGGCTCAATGGGATTTACCTGTCTAAATAAAGGTTGAATGAAAAAAAAATTAATTAAATAGAAAAAAAAAATATATATATATATATATATATATTCTAGTTTTTTGAGTGGGGTTTTAGCTTAAAAGTATAGAGTCCTCAAATGATTGGGGTGGCTCTGGAGGTGGTAGATTAATCTAAGACCACCACTGGCCACCTCCTTGTTCCACCATTGTGCCTGGTCAGGCTCCCTGCTTCAAGCACTCACTACGATCTGTCTGTTCTGCCTCACACAAACAAACAAACAAACAAACAAACAAAAAACTATCCCTGTTCTTATACATAGTGTAACTACTACCCACTTATTATCTTGCACCATAAACATTAAGATTCCCTCCCATTTCCTGTTCAATTCCAGTCCAGAATAACACTCGTCTTGAAAACTAAAAACATGAACTATTGGGAATTCCTCGTTGCCCTTTGCAACAACTATTTAAACATTTTCTGTCATTTTTATGTGAATTTGCTGTTATTCTTAGGTCAATTTAATGTGGCATGAGTTTGTTTGTCCCAGTACTTACCAGTCTGACAGACTGGCCTTGCCTTTGTCTTTTATAAAACTGAACTGTGGTATACCTTGAAACCAGAAAATGGCTCAAGCCTGGTATACGGAGGAGTTTTTGAGTCAGTCTGAGTTTTGGGAAATTTCTTTGAGCATTATAGTCTCATTAAGAGGTAACTTGCTCAGTTTATGGTAGGTTAAATGTCATCCTAATGTTTTCCTGCTTCTTAACAATCATTAGTAGATTCCAAATTGTTTAGAATTAATTTAGTGACAGATTGATGAGAAAAATCTATACAAGAATTGCCCAGATGTTTGTTTTTATAGTGGTGGTTAATCTTGCTAAAGATCAGTTATTTAGAAACATTTGATCAGAAGCTCTTGGTTGCTACGTACCCTCTTACCTTTTTACCAAAATTTAACAAATCTTGAAGATTTAACATGCACTCATTGTAAGGCCACTTATTTCCTCTTGGTTTCACCAAGGTAAAGACATCCTGAGGGAGACCATAAAGTTCATGTACACGGACTGGGCTGACAGGGACAACAGTGACATGCGACGGAAGACCCTCCTGGCTCTGTTCACGGACCACCAGTGGGTGGCCCCAGCTGTTGCCACTGCCAAACTGCACGCCGAGTTCCAGTCGCCTGTTTTCTTCTATACCTTCCACCATCACTGTCAGACGGAAGCAAGGCCCGAGTGGGCAGACGCTGCCCATGGAGATGAGATCCCCTACGTGTTTGGGATTCCCATGGTGGGGGCCACTGACCTCTTTCCTTGTAACTTCTCCAAGAATGACGTCATGCTCAGTGCTGTGGTCATGACATACTGGACCAACTTTGCAAAGACAGGGTAAGTAAAAGGTCACATTTAAATACATTAACATGGCTGTGTGCGCTATATATTT